CAGCAAAATTAAATAAAATTTAAAAAGGTTGATAATAATACCTATCCCACATGATTGTGAGTTAATGTTTATATAAATATCTTATAAACTGTAAAGTCCTACGCAAATATTGCTGCTGCTCTTATTTTTAGTATTACTCAGCTCCTGCCTTCAAGTAGTTCCCAGCCTAGTATAGCAGTATATTTATGCTCAGGTATTTAAAAAAAAAAAGAAGCAGAATGGTGTGGCTAGAAAGAGCCCCAAAACCAGAAGTCAGGAATTCTTGGGTAGAGTACTGCATCTACCCCTTATTAGCCACGTGACAAGGGCCAAGTCACTTGACCTCTCTGAGCCTAAGGTTGCCCACCTGTGAAATTAAGGGGTTAGACTATTTGGCATTCAAGGAGCTTTCACACCCTAACATTCTGGGATTCAAAGTATGGCCTGCAATGAGAACCTGTTACACTGATTCACATTTTTCTCAACAGCAATGTTATGCTTTTTCAAAAAGTAACTGAAGCCCAGGGAAGTAGTAGAAATAAAATGTATATGAAGTTTCAAACTGCCGAGAAAATTGATCCAGAAAAGAATAGCTCTATTTGGCAGAAAATGTGTCCCATTTTTTCTAACGTAAACATGTTCCACAAAGCAAATTTTCCAAATAATTAATTTAATGAGAAAATGTATCCATTCAGGTTTCATAAGTACAGTGAAGAAAATGTCAAGATGGTTGACTTTTTTTTTTCTAACTATAGACAAAGTCAAGCCATACTTCTTATCCGTGAACACCCCTCCTCCCACAAGGAGTCCCAAAGTGTGGGTTTCTCTGTTGATTTAGAGAGTCAATAATTCAGTAAAGTCCCAAGTAAATGGCAAAATATAAGCTCAGATTGGGTTTTTGTATTCGTATTTTATAAACATTTCAGGGTTCTTTCCCTGACCCTTGACTTTTTGCCATTCTTAAAGTGAAAACCTTTTATCTTGAAAGCTTGGTTAGAAACAACCTCAGAGTCATCTCATTCACCTTCTTTCTCTGTGTGGATCCTACCCTCAGCAACACCTCTGGCAATATAATCTAGTAGTATGGGTTCCATAGCTAGATTGCCTTGATTCAAATTCTGGCTCTGCCCTTAACAGTTTTGAGACCTTGGGAAAATTACTTAATCTGCTCCATGGCTCCATTTCCTCATCTGTAAAATGGGGATAATAGGACCTAATTCAGATAACCTACTTCAGAGAGTTATGAAAATTAAATTACTTTATAAATGTAAATTGCTGGGAATATTCCTGGTACGAAGTACTGGTAAATGCTCAATAAATGTTAGCTATCATCATTACCATCATCATCATCAATATCTGCAAACAAGCCCCTATTTGATTGCTTCCAGGGACAGCAGAAAGTTCACTCACCCCTTCACTCCCTACTCCTCCATTTCCCCAAGGCAGCTCATCTGCATGTTGGGCAGAAGCATTCTGGTTATTATGAGCTTGGAGTCACACAGACCTGAGTGTAAACGTTTATTCTAACTGCAACCTTGGGCAAGATAACCTATGTTATCTTCTTCTGTAAAATGGCAATAATAATACCTATTTCACCGGGCCATTGTGAGGACTGTTATGGGTCTATATATAAAGTATATAAAGTACTTATCATGGTTCCGGCTGTGTAGTAGGTGCTCAATAAGTGATTGCTGCTATAATGATGATGATGAGTGTGAAGAACAAGAAGAAAATAAAAAAACAGGAGGAGAAAGAAAGGTAAAAGAAAGAGAAGCAATAGTAGCCACATCAGCAGCTGCTGCTCTGTCTGTTCAAAGGTTCTTTCTGACTAGCTAAGTTCTGCTTCCCTGAAATTTTACCGCACCAGTTCTAGCTCTACCCACTGGAGCTGCACAGAACACTTCTGCTCTGTCTTCTACTTGTCAAACCATCAGATATTCATACAGGGCTGGCACAGCCCCTTCCCTGTCCCTTTAGCAGCACCACCACCACCACTTCTCAGTGCCCTCTCTTCAGGGAGGTATCTCCCATATCAGTGGTGTCTCAGAGAACTTAGTTTTTAGGCTCCTCCCTAGCAGAGGTCCTTCCTGACATGCTTCATACCCTTCTTGAATGGGGCCCAGAGCACTGTAGGATGGTTGTACAGGATGGCTACTATCTTGCTGGGGAAAAGCATGGTATTCTACATCCCCCTAGGTGCCCCTCAGTCAATTTGTCCAGGCAAGGCAAACGAGAATAGAAATAGAGTGTCCTTGTTCACTTTGAAATTCTTGTCTGAAATGATTTTCAGAGAAAAAAATCGCTTGATCCGGGGCACCAGAGGGAGCAAACTAGCAGTGCTGTGTTTGCTTTGAAGCAGTCCGTTGGTGGCATAGCCCCAGTGATGCTATAGAAGGGGGTCGTCAGAGATTGAGGCATTACCCAGTCAGGTAAAAGGAAGCACTCCTGCTGGGGAGTGAAGTAGAAACGGAAAGGCAGCCTGTTATAGACCTGGGCTCCAGGAGGCTTTGGAGAAAGACCTCCAGCTTTAAAACTAGAGAGACCAGGATCCTTACCCAAGACAGTGCCCCAGCCAGTAATGACTACCACCTACTGATCACTTACTGGCTTGGGCACTGTACCAGAGACCTTACCAACATTATTCCATTTAACCATCGTAATAACCTATAAAGGAGAAGCTATGATTCCCATTTTACAGGTAAGAAAACTGAGGCTCTCAGGTTGTATAACTTCTTCAAGGTAATATAAGTAGTAAGGACAGAGCTAGGATTTAAATCTAGGTTTGCTTCACTCGTTTTCACCATTATGCTGTGTAGACAGACCCTTTCTAACCATATGGCCTTAAACAAGTGGCAGCCACTCTGAGCCTCAATTTTCTCATCTCCACAACTTTGCTTTGTTGTTGTACAGATGAAATGAGATAATATATTTAAAGTGCCTGGCTTATAATAGGTGTTCAAGAAATTTTAGTTTCCACCTTTCCAAATCCCAGCTCTCCCACTTAAAGTGACTGGACAAAAATCACTTAACTTTTCTTGGACACAGTTTTCTCATGTGAAAATTGGCTGCAGTTTATGAATCTATACCCTTGCATGTTCATGACTCCAGGACGGTACAACTCAGGCCTGATGCTCCAGTGTCCCAGCCTCATTTGTCTCCTAGCACATCTTCCTGCCTGTACACACAGCTCTGGCACTATTATGGTTTTGGTTTCTCCCAGCAAACATCGTATTTACAAACCACAAATAACAAAGTAGATAGAAGATGCCAGAAGAGCTCTGGCATGTTAATTAAGAACAACAGCAGAAGCAGCTGGGCAGAAAATGCCAGAGTTGAAGCAGAGGCAGCATAGCCCTGTTTGTTGACAGAAGCCGGCACAGTATTGTATGTTAATTGGGGAAGTGGGTAAACATTTGCCAGCAGCTTGCCACTCTGCTGCCCCCCTCCTCCCCACACACATTGGAAGACAGACAGTAGGCTGGGCCCTCCCACCACCTTGCCTGCACATCTGCCCATAACCCAAGAGATACTAGTAGAGTGGGCTTTGCTCTGCGTTCCTTATAAGGATAGAGGATTCTGGGGGTGGATGTGTCTCCATAATGAACCTCCTGGGCATACCAGGTTTCCATCTGCACACAGTCAAAGATGGTGTTCCCCCTTCAGCTTGCCTGCCTGGGACACACAGCCTTGGCCCCCAGGGCCTCCCTTTTCCTCCAGCTAGAAGACAGCAGAGCTATCTCATTAGGAGTGGCTTGAATTGAGCAGAAGACAAGATTGCCTGCCTCAGGTGCTAAGTCTTTGCCCATGGGCCCAAAGCTCCTGTATCTGACAGAGCAGCAGTCTTGGGCCTGACTAAAGATTGCCTGGCCTCCCCTCACACACACTCAGAGGTGCCCATTTATCTTAGTGTCCACCCATCCTTAGAGTTGCTCTCACACACAGCAGCCATTAGTGACTAGCTGCTCTGTGCCAGACACTGTGCTAATTATATATTTTTTCTCATTTAATTCTCACTTCAGTCCTGCAAGGTTAATATTAACTCCAGAACTACAAAGCTGATAGCGAACACAGCTGTGATTTAAACCAGTGTCTTTCTAGTTCCATAGCCTGTGTCCTTTCTACTAAGCCAATATTTCTCAACTTTTTAAAATTTATGATCCCTTTTAATAAATAATAAAATTTTGTTTCCTTCTCTCTCTCTCTCAGATCCAGAAAACCTTCATGTCCCATCCCTGCCATTGGCCTAGGAGAGGGTAAACCTAATTTAGGATCCCTATATGATTAGCATATCCCATTCAGCCAGGAAGATTTTGTCTAGCTTTACTTTAATAGTTATAAAATAATGATTTTTTTATTTCTAAAATATAAAATCGTATTATGACATTGACTTTTTTTCCCCCCAACTAAATGTACCTCCAACAAGGAGATTAGGATATGCATCCGTAGGGAGTTTCCCCTCACCAGGGGAGATATTAATCTTTGGTCATGGTGGAATTCTATAGTTTACTACATGAGTTTTAAGAGCAATGTCAGTCCCAAAGGCTTAGCTCTTATCTGACCAATCAGAAAAGGCTCTCCTTGCCAGCAGGAGTTAACCAAGAGAGGTTCCCAGGAATTCCAGTCAGTTGTTTAACCAGCACCTTTCCTAAGGGCTCCCCTGTTCTTCTGGCCAGGCTGAGCTGTACAGGAGGCAAAAAGTCAATGTCATAATACAACTTTATCCACCTGCCCCCAAAGAGGTTGAGTCTCCAGAACCTATGTCCTGAGGTCAAATGCGAGTTCCTCCACTAAACTAAACTATGAGGCTTGATCTCTCTAAGTCCTGGTTTCCTTACTTATAAAATAAGAATAACAGCAGCTACACCACAGGGATATTTTGAAGATCAAATAATTTAGATAATGTGAAAATGCTCATGCCAGTGCATTGTAGGCTCAGAATCAGCGTGCATAGATAGAATGAATGCCATGTAGAGAAAATAGTACTTCAGTCTTTTGAATATGTGGGGTTTTTTTCTTTTCAGGTAACTCAGCTGGACCCCAATAAATCATTATTGGAGGTAAAGTTGTTCCCTCAAGAAACCCTGTTCCTTGAAGCAAAAGAATAAAAACAAGGCCCAGCGGTGGATCCAGCCATTTCTTGACAAGCCAGCATCCTGCATCAAGAGAAGGACTCCTGGCCTGGCCATCCCACCCACATGCTCGTCTCACTCAATTCAGTGTCACACTTCTGCCTCTTGCAAGATTGCTGGAAAAAAAAAAAAAAGTAATAATAAACATAGCTACTTAAAATTTCCCATCCATGAGTATATGTTCCCAACCCTCATCACAGAGAATTACAACTCCGCCACCCTCCCCTCCTCTCTGCACTTCACCTGCATTCAATGACTAATGCACTGTTTAAGTATGAGTGATCAATAGGTAGAACTTTTACCTTTCCAGTGCCCATCTTTTCCCCACAGTGTCTAGGACAGTTCTGTCTGTACTATGACTCCAGGATGCTGTATATTTAATGTTTCCTTGAGCCAGGGCTCATACACTTCTGCCTTTTTATTTTCTTGACTGGATTTCTACTTTGTCATGTAATTTTAAGACGCAGTGGGAAAAAAGTCAAATGGAACATTGTCAGCACGGAGATTAAACACTGTTGTAGGAAAAAAGTATATCATTTTTGTTAGTACTTTCTGACTTCTTTACTAAGATGTAAGGTTTTGTTTGAGGGCTACATTTGACATATATGCAAGATGATTTTTCACTGCTGCTTCCCTGGGTCTCCAGATTCCATCTAGGAGGTATTTGCTGTTCCATTGCAGTGTGGGAAACTGTTCAAGCACACAATGTGAATGTTGCAATAGCATGCAGAGAGGACCAGTACCAAGACTTGAGTGTCTGGCTAAGCTGCAGGAAGCTGCTGTTTAGTTTGCACTTGGGCAGTTAGAACCTCACAGATTCCTCCCAAGTTGCTAGTCCATCAGTGTACACTGAACACAATTCTCTCTTCCTTTTCTATCCCTCTACTTCATCATGCATTTGGACCTTGTCATTTAGTGTTTTAAGCACCCTGTCTATTGCCAAAATCTGCTCAGCTGCCCCATGGACTCTCCTGTAATAAGGAATTTTCTCTACTATTTCATTCTTTTAATGTTTTAGTATTAGATATTGGATTTCCATCTCAAATGAAAGGGATCTCATTCTATGGCTGAAAATTCAGACTTATCATATATTTAATAGTGCAAACTTGGAGGCTCAGCTCAGAAGATGTGTTGCCTGAGCCTACATATAATAATTTAGGGTTTGATTTAGTAAATGTGGATTTGGGGTTTCATTCATTCAGTGTTCATGGGAACACTGTTTATACCTTTACAGTGAATGATTTCTTTTTAGTCTTGGAATGTTTCTCCATATCTGTTTTTGTGTCACCTGTCGTCTTTATCCTAGGGATTGGAATCCCAATTTTGACATATTGTACTTGTCCAAAAGAGAGTTTAAGTGCTGGGTTTGTTCCCCCAGCCCCAGCCAAGGGGTTCTCAAAAGACTCTAACCAAAGCTGATCCCAATTTTGACATATTGTACTTGTCCAAAAGAGAGTTTAAGTGCTGGGTTTGTTCCCCCGGCCCCAGCCAAGGGGTTCTCAAAAGACTCTAACCAAAGCTAGAGATATGCCTGGTCATTTTCCTCTGCCTAAAAGTGCGTGTTGGTCTGGAAAATTCCACCTTGTGTCTTTTCTCTGATGTTCCAACCAGGGACCTCCCCTGAACACTTTCTTAAAAGAGATGTGTTCCTAACAGACCAGTGCTACATATGCCTAGGTGTGGGCCTTCTCTGGCCCCAGGGGTCTCTCCAGGGAGGCTGGAAGAAAGACCCACTGTAGGAGGAGTTCAACCTGAACACATCCTCTCCAGCTTCATTCCTACCTTCCTAACCTAGTGGCTGCACACAATAGTCATTTCCAAGTGCTACAAATACACTAGGGCACCTGTTCTCTTTTTTTCTTTTCCCAGGTAGATCTTATTCTGTAGCTGCTGTGAAGAAGCTGTAGCCCTGAACTCAGGCCATACTCAGGAATAGCAGCAGGAGTGCAGGTGGCGGTTTGAAGGAAGGGATTGTGAATTCACTTTCATGTTTAATCTGTTCCATCTGATTGGGTTTGACTTCGTCATATTATTCCCTCCTACCCACCTTTACTTCTGTATTCCAGCAATATACAGACTTAACTCTGAAGCTAGTTTCATAAGTTATCAAATGCTACTTGGATATGTGTGAAATTGAAACACCTTTTTTCAACCCTGCCTTGGAAAGTTCTTTTCCTTTCTTAGTCTGTTCAGCCCCATGAACTCCTATCCTATAGGCCTCATAGCTAGGAAAGGCTTTAGCTAATTGTCATAGTTCACTCATGATATTCTGGTCTACTAAGGACCAGAACAGGAGGCCAAAACAATTTTATACCTTTTCATACAAGCACAACATTAAAATAACTTGCTGTCACCGTAGAATAGCAGTGTCCTTTGCAATTCTTCCTCCTACCTTAGGCTTCCTTGGGCTTTACATCCAGCTTTCGGATGCAGTGAGTGAGTCAATCAGAATATCTGCTTCATGTTTTTATGCCCAGATGTTTACAGTGAAGCTCCAGGGCTCCCTGTCATTCCTCCTATTCCAATTTATTCCCTTGTGTTCTTGGATTATCAGTTGTGTGTTTGGAGCATTAGTTTGGAAGTTTAGGAAGTATTGCCAATTTTCCATTGCCTTTCAGAAGGTGCAGTTTTTTTGGAGGTTTCTGGTTTGAGATGTTGCCATACTCTACCACTGCTAGTTTTATAAAACATTCCAGTGTTCATCTCTGAATTGTAAGCATTCAAAGCCTGAGTTGGATGAGAGCATCATTTATGGGATCTTTCTTTTTTAATATAGAAGAACAAGATTTAAGCTTTCGTAGATTTTACTTGTTGATGACATTAGAGACATGAAATAAGTTTGCAGTTGCATTAAAATTGCTACTTCCAAAAGCTATATGTGCTGGCCTGAGTGTGCTGGTTAGTGGGATAGATTTTTAAGAGGTTGCAAAGCTCTGGCAGATTTCTCCAAAAGCATGGAAGTTTTTCATTTGGACGTGGGAGAGGGTCTTAATTGTCTCCATTAGCAACATTACTGAATGACACACTTCCATCCTTAAACCTCATAACCACCCAGTCCTGGATCCCACTAGTAGATGAGACATGGAGTCTTAAATTCAGTCCAGGAGTAACTCACAAAAGCATCGCATTTTACAATCTATGTGACCCTTTCACATGCATTATCTCATTTTATCCTTTTTAAAATTTTTGGAGGGAGGGAGATCTTCACATGCACACACACACAAAATCACCACCCCACCACACACATATGCATTCCAGAGTTCAACATCTTCCAGATTGAACCTTGTTTCTGCCACTTAGTAGCTGTGTGACCTTAGATGAGTAACCTTTCTGAACCACAGTGTTCTGATAACATTCAGATAGCACTTTGCAATTTACCACACCTTCCACACTCATCATTACAGGCCACTACTGTGAGGGAAGCAGGGCAGAGATGACTGTTCCAGTTTTGCACATGGGGCTCAGAGGGTAGTGGCTTGCCTAAAATCACACAGCACGTCAGTAGAAGAGTCAGGACTCAAGCCCTGGCCTGAGATTTTCCATTGTTCTTTTGTAAAGGATCTCTAAGTTTCATGTTCAGGAGCGCACATGGGGCTCAGAGGGTAGTGGCTTGCCTAAAATCACACAGCACGTCAGTAGAAGAGTCGGGACTCAAGCCCTGGCCTGAGATTTTCCATTGTTCTTTTGTAAAGGATCTCTAAGTTTCATGTTCAGGAGCGGATCTTGGAATGCTCTATAATTGTATACAAAAAGTTAAAGGTCTGTTTTTCTGGAAAGGGAATCTTTATTCATCAGATTCTCAGTGGGATCTATTGACCAAAAAAATTTAAGAACCACCATTTATGTCATGCCAATATCATCAGTCTATTGGGAAGTTGAATCTGTCCATTATTCTTTTTACCAAGCCATATTTGTATCTAAAAGAAACCCCCAAAGAGGGTGAAATGCACCCACTAGGCTTTCTTGCCTTGAACCTCCATCTGCATTTAGTATTTCTTCCTGTCTCAAATAATCTGCTTTGGAAGATGACCCTTAACAAACCCAACCAGCCATACAGCTCCTCTGCTGCATTTTGAAAGTTTGGTCTGAAAGGAAATATCAATAAAAGAGACTTGCTCTCCCGCATTCAGTCTATTAACTCTTACTTTATACACCATTCATTAGTTGTGATTCTTGGTTTTGCAAGGTGATGTAATGTGTGATTAAGAGCACAGCCTCTGGGGCTGTACTGCCTGGGTCTGAGCCACTCCTCCACTTACTAGCAGTGTGCCCTTGGGGAGTTACTTCACCTTTCTGTGCCCCAGCTTTTTAGCTATAAAGTGGAAATAATATAGCAGTACCTGACTGATAAGGTCTTTTAAAGATTAAATGAATTAATGTAAAGCAGTTATAATAGCTATTACCTGTTCTGCAAACTCATATGGAATTATAATAGGAAAGGAGAGTGGATGATGACAGCAGTGAGAAATGGCAGTTTCTGGGAGAGGACACAGAAAACAGAAAAAGTTGACACAAGAAATGCAAGAGCACTGCTCTAGGACCCTTCAGGAAAAGGTCAAAGAACCCTGCACAGTGTCACTGTGTTTTTGGTGTCTGTAAAAATAAACCTGGGGTAACATGGGAAGGAGAAAGGAGGAGGAGGACCAATTTGCTGAGCACTTAGTATGTGCCCAGTACTGTGCTCAGAGTATTCCAGACCTTTCCTCGTGTAACCTAACAACAACCCTGTGAGGGGGTTATCTTGGTCCTATTTTGAAGAAGCAACAGGATCAAAGAGGTGAAGTGACTTGCCCAAGCTTCACAGCTAATAAAGAGCAGAGTTCTGGACACAGACCACTGATTCCAAAGCCCCTCCGTGTTTATGACAATGCACTGCTGCCTTCAAAGAAAATATGACATATTACCAAGGCATTTCAAATCATAATTACAGTAATAATAACATTTTTAAAGTGTTGTTGGATGTTCAGAGGGGTAAAGCCACGTTTTTATAGAAAACTCAGCTCTCCAAAATGACTCGGTTCCCATGAGTTCTTAGTGCTACTCTTACTCAGAAATGTATCAGGAGCCAGAATTTCAGCAATGCCTTTTATTTTTAAGTTCATACAGTGATTTAAGAAGTATCCTGTAGTTTTTACCTCTTTGACCTCTCCAAAATCTATTCCCTGCTCCTTCATCCTTTATCCCACTGCCATTTCTTCCCTTCAGTCCTTTATCATCTCTCTCTTGGGTTATAAAACCACATCCTAATTGATCTCCATTTCTGTAGTCCCTTCCCTTCTAGACCAGTCTCCACACAGCTGACAGAAAGAGCTTTCTACAACACCTGACTCACTGTGTCACAACCCCACTTTGATCCTCTCAGAGGCTTCCCATTGCCCTCTGAATAGAATCCAAACTATTGGATTTAAAACCCATGTCATCTGGCCCCTACCTCCTTCCTCATCTGTATCTCCAGCCATGCCTTCAACACACATCCTGAGCTACTTGCAGTTTCCTGAAAGTGCCAGCTTTCCGTCATCTTTGGCCTT